CTGGAGATTGAAGCTGTGGCCTCACAGTTGATTAAAGTTTTTATTTATTCTGTAAGTGGTGATTGTCCTCCTTCACAGCATTGAACCCAAAATGGATGTGAGCATTCTATCTAAATTGGTCTGAAATAAAAGATTACAAATCTTGAATTTAAATTTTTAGTTGTTAGTTCAAGTACTGGTAAATATTAGCCAAAGGCTTTATAATGTTACAACAATTTCAACTCAAATTGACAGCTGAATAATGACGTAAAATAGATCTTATAAATAATCCAGCATAGAAATTGTAATATGCAGCTCAAGTGTACACATAATAAAGAATTTACTTGATTTCCTTTTCAAAGTAATGAGTGGCAATCATTTTAATTAATCACAATGTGGCTTTTAAGAAGAACTTGGGGCCTAATTAGCTAGAAGTGTACATGTATATTTTCAGCGTGAGTGTTCTGTGGGAAGCTACAAACTGGTTATTCATTTTTGCTTGGAGCGTGTTTGTCGTGTTAGCAGTCCCCGAGGGAGGAAACAGAACATCTTCCTAGCACGTCCTCTCCCTGCTGCTTAGTAATACAGACTTCAGAGCTGTGTCTGCAGTCTCAGGTTAGCAAAGCATTTCCACAGTGGAGTGGAAATCCAATGCTTTATTCTCTTGGAAAGCAGTGATGACATGGAAAACATTTAGAAGCAACTACAAGACTGGTTCAGTTGAGTAGGACCAAAAGTTGTTGAAGAGTTGCTTGGCTTCCCCTTCCGTTCAGCCCTACCTGTGGAAGCTTCTGTAACTACATTGAGCATCAGCATCTAACTGTGATCTGTCTTCTGTCTTCTCGGGTCCTGCATTCTTCTTGATACAACCTTATGGCCTTAGAAAACTCCACTCTCAGTGAGCAGAGCCAAGCACATAGCTGATGGACATCCTCAAATGAGCAGCTTAGGCTTTGTGTTTGGATAGTGCAAACTCCTATCTCTTGCAGTGATTTTGTTGTTTACAGTGAGGAGCTGGAAGTGAAACCATTTCAAAATGGTTTTTGAAAATGGTTTTGGCCTATGAGTCAAATTTTTCTCAGTAGGCTCTGAGCACCCTCTTACTTGTCTCCTAACTTCAGCCCCTCACCCTGGAAACCCTGAGCACACTGTTTACTACCATAAACAACTGCTCAGTAGGGCAAACCCATCTATAATAGCCATTTTATCTGGAATATGAATATGGGGATCAATATGGGGAGATGAGTCTCAAATGAGACCCAAAATAATAATAATAATAATAATAATAATAATAATAATAATAATAATTGGCTTATCTCAATAAAGGGTTTAAAGATTCCTCCTCTCGATTCCTATAGTCGTCAGAAAATTCCAGTCACCAGAGGATCAGCAGGACCTCTGACAAGAAACGGGGCAATCAGACAATGGAGCAGGGTATGTGTTAGCCCCTCCACTAACACTGTGTTGACTAAAGTCAACACAGAGCCAGCCGTATAGATGAATCCACAGTTCTTATTCCCCAGGGACCCAACCTTGGTACATGGAATATGAGGTAACCTGAGAAACTGCTTTTAGCAGTCATCAGAGCTGATGTCCGGGAAAGGACCTGAGCTTGAATAACATGGAGGCAAGCCAGTGAAGGAAAAGCAGGAGCTTGAGTTGCGCTTCCAAAAGAACAAAGCAAACGAGACAGCTACAACAGCATTGGACCACACGAGGCAAGAAATAGCTCACTGATGCTTTGGTGAGGATAATTCAATGTGATACCTATAGTAACTTAAGTTGGAGACTAGCGGCTGAAGATTTGATTCATGAAGGCCTTTCCTGGGAGGTATTAGGCCGTGGTTTGATTTCTAGCACTGATTTAAAAATGACTATACTTATATTATTCCTTAAACTCATACTGTTTTGGGAACTGCACTTACTTTTGACAAAAATGAAGTGACTAAAGTTAGGTACATGTCTTTCATACCAGCACGCAGGAAGCTGAGGCAGGAGGCTCACCTTGAGTTCAAGGCCAGCTTATAGGCTACATTTCAAAAACATTGTCTCAAAAGTAAATGAATAAACCACAGTGTAGAGAAGGGGCACATCCAGACAAGTACTCTGCCTTATGGAGGTTCTTTTCAGGACGTCATATATGTGGATTGATTATATTCTTTTTTCTCACAACAGAGGAAAATATACTCTCAATACCTGGAACACTGTCTATTTTAATTGATCAACATTTCCAAGTTCACAGACTAAAGGGAGAAATGCACTCGGTCTAACCGAATAATGCTCAAGACAATGTAAACCTCTGATGAGTTAAATGTATCATTGCATCTTTACATGGATGCAATCTGCCAAGGCAAGTGCCTACAATTACCAGGCAATCACCAATTGTAATGGAGATGTCTAGGCTGATAAATTACTTTCTTATTGAAAAATGTCGTGTTTGCATTAAATGCTTCCTATGCTTTTATCAAAGCCGTTGCCTTGCTCCTAAGACACATAATATGAACTGAGGCTCTACCGCCATCTTCAGGTCAAATCTGCTAACTTCACTTCTCTGGGCTACAACAGAGGTTCAATCTGTTTGAAGAATACAAACATGACTCTCTCCTCTCTCCTGCTGGAATGTCACATGGTTTCCTCTTCTTTTTTTTTTTTTTTTTTTTTTATCCTCTTGAAATATGCTCGGTAGGTGTTTAAAGAGTATTACGCAGGAGGGGGGGCTGGCCTAAGCTGTGACGCCCTTCCCACAAAAACAGCACAACCCAACACTAGGACCTACCCCAGTCTTGTAGCCGTACCCTTTCTATTTAGCAGAGAGTTGCAGCGACTGTGGTTAAAAGGCCATGGAAGATGGAAGAATTGATTTTCAGCGTGATCTTTTAACATAACACTGATGTACTCATCTTTATATGAAACACGGCCATAATGCATACTTTTGTTTATTGGTGGGGCTGGGGATTAGAACCACAGCCAGCTGAATATTAAGTATGTACATCCCCTCTGAGCCCCATGCACAGGCTTAGGTTTTAATATTTTTGAATGAAAAAGCACATGACGGCAAATGGGCTTAAGGCCCACTAAAGCCCACAGGTCTAGCTTGCAGTTCTACTTTTCTAATTGTTCCACAGGAAGCTCCATGGGAACACTTGTCAGCGTGTGGACCGGCGGCTCTGTTCGCACTCACCTCCCCAGTTTTCCTCTTTACCAGCCCTCCCTAGCTTTTGCCATCTAGTCACGAAGAATTGACTTCAAATTTGTGCTGACAAATTTTATCTTGTTTAACTCACACGTTACTGACTTGGTGGTTTTTTGTTTTTTTTTTTTTTTTTTAAAGAGCACATGCTTAAACCTGCCAACAAACTGCACCTACCAAATTTAGTAATCGCTGAAAAATATAAACCGAATGTAGACATCTACCTGTCTCTGATGCCCCAGCCTGTTTAACTGATATACTTTAGTAGTGATATTATTAATAACAAGAGTAAGATCTGTATGTCAAGCTCTCTTTTTCTTTTTGAGTGCTGAGGACTGAACCCACAGCTTGATGAATGACAGACCAGTGCTTTCCACTGAGCTATATACTCTAGCACCGCGTTTCACCTTTGTTCAATGGCTGCATACCACACACTGGTAATATTTACAATAACCTCATCTTGACTTTAAAATGACCCAGTGAAATAACCATTATTTTGCAAATGAACGGATTCAAGAGTATTGGAAGGTGAAGTCTTCTGCACAAGTCCACATGCTCGGGAGGGGGTAGAGCCAGGATTTGAGTCTGAACCGCAAACGTGGTTTTGCCTGTCACAGGCCTTGGCTGCTTGTGGCTCTCCTCTCTCAGCTCTGTACCTGTACCGTGCTCATAGTGCTACCTCTCCAGGTGTGAAAACGTGTTCTGCATCTACCCCCATGTATACTCCCGAACTCCCAGCATTCCTCCCACCACGGCCCCGTACAACTTTGTTATTATTGTTGTTGTTGTTTTAAATCGCCCAGTCTAGTTAGGATTGCCCGTGTGAGCTTGTGTCTGGAAGCATACGCTGGAGCATGAGAAGTCTACCAGTGTTCACACCCTCAGAAAGGAGTGGTTCCCTCGCAACTGCCTACTGCCAACAGCTAGTCAAGGGTGGGGCCGGGGAGCCAGTTTTGGCTGTTGTTCTTCTGGAGCTGTGTGCAGTAACTCCAGTTGCTGTGAGTTTACGATTGTGATACCAATATCATGTCCAGATGTCGGCATTTCAAAACAGTCCTCCCATCCTACAGCTTCTGTGTTCTTTCTACAGCCTCTTCCTTGGTATTCCCCGAACCAAGCTATTGTTCCCCCCCAACACTGGCACTAAACCTAGGTGCTGCAATAGTTCAAAGACTCACAGCAGCTTTGTAATGCATGCTGCATAGTAACCCACTGAGAATTGGTGCTAGACTTTGAAGATTCTCAAGGACTGCAGCAGTAACAATGAAGCTTCTAGAGCAGTGATTTTCAACCTTCCTAATGCTGCAACCCTCTAATTCAGCTCCTCATGTTGTGTTGACCTCCAATCATAAAATTATTTTATTGCTACTTCGTAATTGTAATTTAATGACTGACAACTTTAATAGTTCATAATTTTTAATAAATTGTAATGTAAATATCGAATATGCAGGATATCAGATATGCAACTCTGGTGAAAGGGTCAGTCGACCACCAAAAGGGTTGTGGCCCACAGGTTGAGGATCAGTGTTCTAGGATGTACTGGTTTGGCGCCTTAGGCTGAAACATTCAGGATCGAGCTCTCAGGCCTACAGCAGCTGCTTTCCTAACCGCTAGCTCTTCATCTTCACGTCCAATTCTTATAAAAGCCCTGACAATATCTAATTGTGCATTAAGCATTGTGTATCCGCAAGACATCAAGTGCCGGGTCATTTTGACCGACCTCTGATACAGACATAGTCACAGCTGGAACTGAGAAAGCCACAAATTTGCAAATATGGTGTATCAGAAACATCAACTTAATATGTAAATATCAAACCACACTTCAAAGTAAAATTCAAATTTTACTTGGAGTTCTTGCTTTGCTTTTCTCTAATACTGACAGCTTAGATCATTCCCTATTTTACTAGTTTCTTTGGTCTTTATAATATTTTAAAGCAATGTTCAAATAAACTTCCAAAGTTATCTTCAACTCTTTCTGAATGAAGTTTCATTTCTAATGATAGAGGCTTGTAAATAGTACGCTTCTCAATGATGTTTCACCTGCGATAGAAAGAGAAAGTCAAGTTCCAATAAGCAGTAGAAACTCTTTGACCTTTATTAGCAATTTTCCCCCTTACTTTGCAATGACGCATACAGAGCTCTTTTGGCTCTGTCAGCTGCTACACTCAGCATTTGGTTTCATAAAGTAGATCTGAACAAGGGCAAATAAAGCCACTTGTGACTGGATCTTATACATACGTGTGAGCTACTCTGGGAAAACATTACATTAAATACTCAATTTCCAATAAACCTGGCTGTTATATTTGGGAAGGACTACATATTCAGAATGTTTTTACACATTTCTCTCAAGCCTCATTTCCTACCCTTTCTTTCTTCACCATTCCTCACTTCTTTATTCAGTGTAATACACAGTAACAGACTTACACAGCCACCTATGCAATGGATAACTTTGCTTTCTCAGTTTCACACCATGACTATCATGTCCCTGCTATTTTCAGGATGGGGCCACGCCTTCCCAGGGTGAAAAACTGTGCCAGGAGAAAAACATACAGAACGTGTTTTTTTGCCCACCAGAGACTGATCCTGTTTCAATCTTCAAAAAGAAAATTTTCTAATGTTTTAAGTGTCATAATGTTTCAGTGTATTTAGCTCTTCATGACCTCTGGGATATTTATTTTGACACAGTGTCTTAATCACCGCACAGCTAAAGATGAACTTGAACCCCAGGTCCTCCTATTCACACATCTCCAGTGTTGACCCCTCAGGCCTTTTGAAGAACTAAGTAGTATGTGATGGCTTTTACATTAAGACTCACAGAAGAAGACATTCTCTGCAGGGCCTGCTGCATGTAAAGGGATATGTGTACTTGTGTGTCATCATCACACATCTCCAATATGCATAGAAATAGGAACCAAACAACATTTGGGTACTCTAGAATTTGAGTAGCAACTAAGCAGGTATAGAGCAATTTTTTTTTTTTTTTTTTTTTTTTTTTTTTTATACAGAAGCTTTGAAATAAGCGCATTACAGCAGCTGTCTTATAGGTCACTGAGAAGCCTTGTCTCATATAAGAAACCCCGCTCTTCCCTTGGTTCTTTGGTTTCTGAAATACAAAGAGTCCCTAATTCCAGTGATAGGCATATTTATTTTTACTAGAAATGGATTTTAATAGGCTTCAGATAAAGAAAGATTTTTTTTTTTTTTTTTTTTGGCAGGGAAAATTATGAGAGCAGACTTGATTTTTATGGCACATGGCCATTAAAAATATAAAGGGCTTGACTTTAATCACTGTGGTAGTGACTCATTATTTTAAAGTGGTGGGAATTTTGAGAGATATGAGGCTAGCATTTGACCAGCTACTCAAATTCCAGACTAGCATAAATGGTGTCCTTTGTCCTACTGTGGAGAGCTGCCCTCTGCTGTCTTGGAATCCGGCATCCTACTGCAGTGTGGCCTATACCTTGCACTTCGTTGGGTTCATGTAAGACATTTGTATGAGTGTGAAATGACATTAGGTTTCTGTTTTGGAGACAAATGTTGCATTCATGATGCTCTATTTTGGAAATAAGATATAAGAACAGTCAGTTACCAACTAGAAGACACACATAGAAGCCTCTACCAATTATCTGTGCTTTCAGGTACCTGTATCCTCTTTTCACATTTGACTCCGGAGTATCCAGCGCGGCAAGAACAGACACCAGGAGACACGCATCTTCCTCCATAAAGGCACTTCTGAGCACAGATAGCTACAACATGCAAATTATTATAGTCATCACATCTTGGAACAGAATCCTGTAACTCCCTGCTTTCGAACAGAATCCCGTAATACCCTGCATTCCACTGGTCTGAACGTATTTTGTGATCGAAGCCTTTACTGTGAGTCTCAGTGGCCATTACTTCACATGATACATACATGGATTGAAACATCACACAGAGATAGGTACAGTTTCTGTGCCACTCAAAAATAAATGAAACAAATTATAACTGACCACAGGAAAGAAGTGCAAATGTTACCAAATGTGTGGCTTAATTATTTTATTAGTTACATTCGAATAGAAAAGAAATGGGTTATATTAAGAATCTCACAGTGATCTGTCTACAGGAAGAGCTAATCCATGTGCTCTCTTGACTCCAGAAGCCATACTCCCAACTCAAGTACTTTATTAGGTCAAACAAAAACTGTATTAGTTATGTTTTTAAGTTATTTGAGTTTTAACTTTTTTTTTTTTTTTGTTGTTGTTGTTGTTCATACTAAATCTAGAGCCCCAAGAAGACCCATTGTTTATTTAGGTCATGGCTTTCAACAAAAGTACTATTTTTTTTTACACTTTCTTTTTTTTTTCTTTATTAATTACACTTTATTTACTTTGTATCCCCCCTCTGTGGTTCTCTCCCTCCTCCCATCCCAATCCCTCCCTTCCTCCACCTTCTGCATGCATGCCCCTCCCCAAGTCCACTGATAGGGGAGGTCTTCTTTTCCTTCCTTCTGATCCTAGTCAATTAGGTCTCATCAGGAGTGGCTGTGTTGTCTTCTTCTGTGGCCTGGTAATGCTGCTTCTCCTTCAGCGGGAGGTAATTAAAGAGCAGGCCAATCAGTTCAAGAGACAATTTGGTACTAGCATGTATATAAAGAAATTTGTATCCTACTTTGGAGAGTAGCTAGAAACTCCCTGACTTCTTTCCTTCCTTTCTGCTTTTTTTCTGGAGACAGAATCTCGCTACGAGCCTTTGTTAGCTATGTACTCCCTATATAGCCTAAATTGCTCAAACTCATTGCAACTTTTTAAGTGCTTAGATTACAGATGTGCACCACCAGGCCCAGCTCATTCAGTTACTTTTCAAACATGATTTCACTGTCCACACTAGAAATACCTTTATGGAAATATATCCCAAGGTAATTCTAAAAATATCTATATGTATTCAATACCTATCTGTGCATTATCATCTATAAAAATGCTTGTAATAAAAAAATCATTTGTAAGTAACAGAAGTTGTTACCATAAGGGGAAAGGTCATTGCATGAAATATAATGGCATTATGTAATTTAATATAATACTTAAAATAATGTTTTAAGGGTAAGCAATAGGTTTTTAAATAATACTGGGTAAAAATAAGCATAACACAAAATTTATATATGTAGTTATCTTTCAAGGGAGTTACACTGTTCCAGTATGTACTTTTGAAAGTTTATATAATTCAAGAGTTGACACGCTGTTTTCATGAAGGCTGCTGATGCGGTTGGGTGGGAATGTCACACCCAAGGGTTTCACACAAAGAAAGTTCCATTATCTGGGTATCAAATATTTGAATGGGCATTCCCACATTTTCCCAGAAGATGGCAGTAACATTTATGTTCAGTTAGCATTGTCAACACACTAGACAGTTTCTGGACCATTGGAAAGAAAGCATCTTTGAGGAAGAGGGTTTGTTTTTCGATTCACACAAAAGTCCCGCAGTGTGCAGAAACTGAATTCCGAGCTTTGAGGGGTGCTTAGAGAATACCAGTGTACAGCTGCGGGAGCAACTTCCACATTCGTGGAGGATCATGAAGAGCAGAGAGGGGACAGGAGAGGGCAGTGGAAGTGAATACGATCAGAAGATGTGATACAGGTGTTTAAAAATGTCATAACTGAAACCCATTATTTGTATGATTAATATGATATTTTAAAACTTTAAAAGGAAATAAGAAAAATGAGAAACTATGAAATAAACCCATTTTCTTCAAATGGTACAAAATAGGGGGTGGGGCGTTCAGGGGACGGGGAAGACAATGAGGGAAAGAGAATCATTAAGAAACACTGTTGGGAAATGACATAAGATTTTTAATACCCTGCATGCTAATTTTAAAAATAAGTTTTTTAAATGCAAAAAAAATAGGCCAACATTTATTTTTACTTCTAAATTTTAGTTATATTTCTTTTTACTTTGTATGTGTGACAGGTAGCTTTAAATGTTGATTTGACACAACCTAGGACTACCTGGGAAGAAAGTTGAAAGGCCTGTGGACCTTTCTATGGAGTGTTATCTGAATTATGTCTTAACTGATGTGGTTATGTCTTAACCAGCCTGACCTAGGGCCCTAGAGTGCACAGGAGTGAAGAAAGCTATCCAGACACTGCAGTATTAGATATCTCTCTTCTCTCTACTCTGGGTGTGATGTGACCTGGTACTTTAAGATCCTGCCACTGTGACTTGCCTGCAGAGATACAATGTAACCTGTAATTGTAAGATAAAATAAATCATTTCTTTTTAAAGCTGCTACAATAAAATTAAAATTGTATGTTTGTGGCAGTGTAGAGATCTCACCAGGCTTGGTGAGAAGCACCTTTACCACAGAGGGATAAGAAATCTAAAATCTTGTCTCTGCTGTGGATTTCCTCACAAGCAACAGATTAATTATTCCAATAGGTTCAAACTCAGAACGTGAAGTAGAGAAAGGCTCCTTACGGTTCTCACACTGCACCCCTTCCCAGGTGGAAGGGCAATGGCACATGTTGGGAGCTATGCATTCACCACCATTTTTGCATTTCTGAAGGCAGATTGCTGCAGATACAAAGGCAAACAAGTTACAAATTTAAACTACTATTCAAATTTTAACATAAACCACAAAAATCCCCCATTTTTTTTAAAAGAATAATTTTCAAGTCAAGAATGAAAAGATTTTTCCTCAACCAGGAGTGATGGAACACACCTGTAATCCCACCACTTTGGGGTCAAAGACAGTAGGATCAGTAGTTCAAGACCCGCCTCAGCTACATAGGAAGTTCAAGGCCAGCCTAAATGATATGGGAACCTTTCTCACAAGTAAAATAAAATAAAGCAAAAATGAAAGAAACTAAAAAACAAAACAAAACAAAACAAAACAAAAAAACATTTTAGCAATACCTTTTGTAATATTATGTAGCCTTGAAAAAGTCTCTCCAACATGTCTGCTTAAACAAGAGCTGAACAAGGACAAGAACAGACATGCAGAAGTGGATGGGGAAAGACCAAAGGCCTTACCTCTACCAGAGGCAACTAAGGAATACTAAGAGCAGGACACAGCCTTTTCCAGAGAAGAACACACCAAATAGTTTCCGGTATTAAATGTCAGCCCAAAGATTTGCATAAAATAAACATGATACAGACTGAGTAGGTTATATTTAAAAATCTGTCTGTCTATCTGCACACACACACACACACACACACACACACACACACACACACACTCACTCACTCACACACATTCATGTAAGGATAATCAATGAAAAGAGAGGCCATAAGTGTGAAAGAGAGCAAGGAGGAACATATGGGAGGTTTTGGAGGGAGGGATAGGAAAAGAGAGATGATGCAATTATATTTTAAAACGGGGGGAAAAAAGAGGAAAAATGTGATTTTGCTGATCTTTAGAGTTTCATGGTGCATTCTACTTCTTCCCAATTGTTGGAGTTTTACATTGATTTTCATTTTAAACAATATTCCATAATTGCTGTTAATTTAAAGCAATTATTTTAGTTTACTCAGAGACAAAGTCTCCTTATTTGGCCCTGGCTGGCCTGGAACTCACTATGCAGACTAAGTTGGCCTTGAATTCACAGAAATCTCCCTACCTTGGTGCCCAAATTCTGGGATTAAAGGCATGGCCCACACAGGCAGATTAAATAACAATTTTCTACAAAGAATAAAGGGGACATTTGAGTGAAAAAAAACATCTCTGTGGCTAATCTGCTGGAATGGGTAGAATCTCACCCTGGAATGATCTGACCTGCTGAACTCCGGTGGGGTCAAGAAATCAGGGCTTTTTTTTCAAACTTTTTTCTCAAGCCAACTTCAGATTAGAAGTCCAGATCTTTGTTTTACACTGGCCTATGTGGTTGAAAAACTTGAAAAAACTCTACACTGTCTTCAGTAGTTTCACAATTTCAAAATGATGTCTTCCGGAGAAGGACTAAATAAACAAAAATAAAAGCCAACAAGTGAAAACAAAAAGACTCTGCCTTAAATTCTGCGGCACGCCCTCATGACGGTAGGCGTCCACTATCTGAGAGTCACCTTGCTTGACTTACGTGTGTTGCACTGTTTCCCACTCCAGCCAGAAGCACAGGAGCAAATATTCGGTCCCACACATTTTCCGCCATTCATGCACACAGGCTCACAGACGCCTTACATGCAGAAAATAAAAAAAGAAGAAAAGGTGGGTCAAACAAGATTCAGTTTTACCTGTCGTATGCAAATATTTTAGTAGTATCTTACTTGTTTGGCATCTCTTTCCAGTGTACCCTCCACGACAGGCACACACGTTATTTCTCCTGCAGAGGCCACCATTCTTACAGGGAGGGTGACAGACAGCTAAAAGAACACATGGCAGCAATGTGTGAGCGCTACATATTCAATTATTATATACGCCACATTGCCTCCTGGGCTTCTTATCTATGGGGCCATAAGGACGAGGAATGCGCTATGAAAATAAAAGATCACAACTGCAAGCCATCGCAACTGTCCTTTCTAAATAATGAAATGCAGGGCTCAGCCATCGGCCGCTAACAGGGTAACATCACTGAAATGACTTAGCACTGGAATCTCCGTTATTATCCTGCATGCATTGTGAAACTGAACTTACATTTCATCTGCGGACAGCAAATTGTGAAATGATCTGGATAGAGGCAAGAAAGTAAATCAAAGCTTTGAGCTCAAAGTTAGAATATATTTCCTCCTGTGCAAACTAGAATGACCTTTACCGTCCGTCACATTAATTTATAAAATTATCAGGAAACGCTTTAACATAACTTTAATCTAGTCGAGTCGTGATGCAACTTTATATGACTGGTTCCTGTGTTTGTTTGCTTGTTTGTTTTTTGTTGTTTTTAATGGGACTTTCGTGTTTGTGAATGAATGTGTGTCTCTCTGCATTTATAATTTCCTTGTGCTTTTTCTTTAGCTCTTTTCCTTCTGTTTCCTTGTTTGTTTTGTCCTGCTCAGGTTTGTTTTTATTTTATTCTAATATAATTATTAGAATCCTGTTTGTTTTTTAATGAGAGAAATGAAGGGTGTAGATTTAGGTGGGAAAGGAGGTGGGGAGAATCATGAATGAGTTAGCGGAGGGAAACTGTCACCAGAATATATTGTATGAAAAATATACTTTCAATAAAAACTAAATCAAATTGTATTACATAAGCATATTAGTTCTAGAAATTTAATTATGAAGATTTTTTTCAAACACTCTAAAACTATATTTGATATAAATATAAGAATAAAGATACATGAAATATTTTGTCCATTTAATTTACTGGCACTAGTTCTTAGTTCCTCTCAACATGATCATGCTCACAATCTGAAAAAAAGAAACCTTCATAGTAATTATATGGAGAGGGCATTAGAACATAGCGCAGAAAAGAAGACTGTTTCCTATGTCTCTTCATCATCTTGTTCAGAGGTGTACATAGGTGTTCACAAACTTTTAATGAATCTGAAGTCAGGAAAGATCACAGGAAAACATTAGACCTTAGATAAAACGTGTCAAAAAATTATTGGACTGAAAGCACTGGAAACACAACCATTCATTCTGAACTTCCCTAGAAGGACATGCACTGCTTCACTTCTTGGCTTGACAAAACTTCACAGGCAGTGCCCAGGTTATTAACCCAACGTATGCTCAATACTGGGCAAATATGGTACATTTGTGTGAGCTCCTTTCATGGCCACAATAACAGAAAACAGAGAGGGAACATAGCCTCTTTCCATCTGACACCTGACATACATTTCTGCAAAGCCCACTTTCTCAAATTGTATTTTTAGTATTCTGCTTTTTTTTTTTTTTTTTTTTTTTGCTTATGCAGAAGGAATGCTTACCATTCTGGCACTGTGTACCAAAGAATCCATCAGGGCAGAGGCAAGTGTTTGGCTTATAACAGGAACCACCATTGAGACAAACGGGATCGCATAGAGCTAATGAACAACAGGAGAACAAGAGATCACAAAGCGCTGTTATGTTAAAACTGACCATGGCAGAGCTAGACAGAAGGAACCACTATGGTATAGTTTAACTGCAGTAAAAATAGCCTATGTTTTAGACTTTACCAAGTGAAAGGAAGCAAAATATCTTTGTAATTGCTTAAAAGTATGTTTATTTGGTGTATTAATAATGTTAATAATAAAGCTAAGACTATAGACTAAGTGTGACTGAAATTTAGAATGTTTTTGGAAATGATTGTATGCTAATTCAACTCAACAGCACTGGCAAATGAATGTGGCCATACAAACACCTTTATCCCTTTGCAGGTAAAACAGCCTCAGTTCACAAAAGTCCTTCCATGCTCCAATGGCTGATGCTTCTATTCTCAACTCAGATTTTATCCTGTCTCCAAGCTGTACTACAGATACAGTTTTCTTCCAAATTCCACTTGCTGGAATTATTAATGTCTTCACTTATAATATGTGGTTTACTTATATTTCTTATCAGAAATCAACTTGCTTCACAGTAGTATTTTCTTTTTAAATTGCAACTCTTTTCTCTTTTACTAATGATATGAGACTTGAAATAAGGGCAAGAATCAACTTGATCTTTGTTTCCCTTTGCAACAGTGTCTCCAAAGAGCTAGCACATTATAAATGGTAGGTTAGATTTTTTTTGTTGAGAAAAGTCATTAGATGACAGTAAATTAGATTAAACAGACCAGCTGCAAACATTCCTGCTAAAGAAGTACACGTGATACTGATAATTAAATGGATTGATATGATAACTGTGCCAAATTGAACAAAGGTTTTACAAAGTAGGATATCTACGTCCTGGTTAGAAAAGGAGAAAGAAACTTAAATAGAGAAGTTGTAACAAATTCAGGTGTTCTGTGTCCGTATCAGGTAAGTGAATGATGGGAACACAAAGTTCCTATTAGGTAAGGTAAG